TATGCCCCCGGGTCCCCCTCCCATCCCCAGTCCACAGGGAGGGTGATGCCTTCCAGGAGGGAATCACCAAAATCTGTCAAGTCATTTGGAGTAGGGACTAGGCCCTCCCTTCTGCCTCTAGGCTAAGGGAGTCTCCCTCCATGGGGAATGTGCTCCCAAAGTCCTGTTGTGCTCCAGGGATACATCCTGGTTCCACTGTGAGAGGTCCCTTATTAGACTGCCCAGGCCTTCTAACTGAGACCCACGTTCAGGAGGTCTGAGTTGGTCCAATGCTGGTTTCCCAGCTATCAGTCTGGGGGGTGGGGATAATTTTATAGTCTAAAAGCACTTCAGGTCAACTGCAGAACAGTTAGTTAAAAACTGAAAATGTTTTGTTGTTTTAAAAATAAATTTAAAAATGCTAAAGGTATTTGCTGTGGAATAATCCTTTCAAATTGGTTTAATAAAAAGCAGACTGGCCAGTAGCCAGGCAGGAAGTATAAGTAGGATAACGAAACCAAGGATGCTGGGAAGGAGGAGGGTAGAAAGAGGAGCCACCAGCAGATGCAGAGGAAGCAGGACATGTAGAAAGGGGTAACAAACCATGAGCCACATGGCGGAGAGTATATAAGAAATATGGGTTAATTTAAAATTTAAGAGTTAGCTAGTGACAAGCCTGAGCTACTGGGTGAGCATTTATAATTAAGATTCCGTGTTGGTTATTTGGAAACTGGTGGGTGGGAAAGAAAAGTCTGCCTACAGGTATTATAAGTCTCTATTGTCATTACTATGCTTTAAATTTATTTGATACATAACTCGGGGCAAGTGATGGAGTGGGTATTGACTTGCTTGACATGGAAAAGAGAAAAGTGGAGAAAAAGTTGTTTTTTTGGACTGCCTCTGTAGTCAGGTATTCACAATAAAAGGCTTTAAATCATGTTACTCGCAGCAAGAAGTATTTGTATTTTTTTTTCCGTAGACCCTTTAATATGGTTCCTCATATTGTGGTGACCCCCAACCCTAAAATTACTTTGTTGCTATTTCATAACTGTAATTTTGCTACTGTTAGGAATCATAATGATATGTTAGACCCCAAAGGGCTTGCAACCCACAGGATGAGAACTACTGACTTAGACTGGCACCTCCATGGATTGTTGTTGCTAGATAGATCTAGCAGCATGCCACCCAACCTGGGATTTTTGCTTTTGGTACACTTACAGAATAGCACTAGTGATTTCATTTCCCACATTATAATTATTTAAACTAGGTCACGTTGACTGTGCTAAAAGACCTCAGTGGTGTTTGTATGCTTGGGGATGAGTCAGGTAGCAGGTCATTTTCTGCATACAGTTTCTTTCCTGTTTATTAATGGCGCTAGAATTCCCAGGTGCTAAAATAAAATTGCTACATAGGTTCCATCAGTCTACTTGCCTTCTTACTTAAACTGATATGTTCTATTTGTGAAGAAAGTATCAAATGTTTGGTAGAGTTTCTTCCTGGGAACTTACTTTCAATAACTTATGAGTTGAAATATATCTTATACATTGGACCAAAGACAACATTAACCCCCTCTACCTTAGTTTCCAGCTGTAGGTCTTTCATACCAGAGCTTTTGATATTTATAGGCAATTTACTTGCAGTCAGGTAGAATGTAGCAAAATTTCTATTGCTTTAATATACTCTGTTGGCTTAGATATGGAGAATCCATCATAGTGGAGGTGATGAATTAAGTGTGTGTGTGTGTGTGTGTGTGTGTGTGTGTGTGTGTGTGTGTGTGTGTGTGTGTTTTGGTTGAGTTTGAACCCAGTGCTTTATTTATGCTAGATGAGCACTGTGCCCCTGAACTACTGAAATTATTGAAGCCTGAATTAATGTTCACATTATAGCTTATATTATAAACCAATAGAGTAGCTTCTAATTTATCAATATATACTCTGCATATAGTATACATTTAATGATAAATTGCTTGCAGTCTCTAGTATAGAGACAAAATAGCTAAACAAAAATTAAAATTCCCAAAATATTCTAGAACACTCCACTACAATAATATTTAAGTTGCTTATCCATGTTTAAAGAATGAAGTATGGAAAAAAAAAAGAATGAAGAATAGTAGGTTTTAATTAAATGCTCATTTTCTTTTTTTACTTACAATAAGCAACTGTATGCAAGACATGGTACATTGTGGTCACAGAGAGGTATAGGACACATGTATTCTCTCAGGAAATGAGTTTTAATATTTACCTTTTGGAAATTTTATAAATATTATTTCTGTACTTTATTGCTTTAGCCACATTTATATGGTAGATAAAAGTAAATGTTTGATGATTGCATGTCTCATAATGAGTTGTGTTTTTTTAGAGAAGTAAAGGTGTGTTGACCATAAAATTTATCCTAAAAAGTTACTTTTGAGTAAGTTGCTAATGGTAGTTTATTTTTGTTGCCTTGGCTTTTAAGAATTGTATTATGCAGTTTAATTAGGTTCTTATTGGAATTTTATTTTGTTAAAATGTTTACAGTAAAATGTAAATATTTAGTCTCACCACTTTTTTTGAGACAATTTCTCTGTGTAGCCCTGGCTGTTCTGTCTCCCAAGTACTGGAATGAAAGGTGCGTGTGCCACCACCACCCAGCATAATATTGTAGCTAACAGTATTATAGAAAACTATTCACAGCCCATTATTTGCTTAATAATTTTCTGTTATTATCACTGTCAACCTAATTTTATGTACACCAATTAGGTCACATGTAACATTTGCAACTCTTGATACTGCTTTTTATTTTCATTCTAAAGTATAAGAAAAAATTTAAGTGTTTTTTTTCTTTTACCTAGTACCTCTTAAATGATTCATCTTAAAAATGCATTACATATGCAAATTAAAAAAATCAACTGTAATTGTATATTAAAATGATTTGTTGCTGTTTCAAGAGACTGGATTAGCATAAACACAGTTAGAAAACTATCAGTTATTAACTATCACAGCCCACTCTCTTGCTAAGAACAATCACAGTTGCTGTATTATGATTAGTTACTTTGATGTTTTATGTCTTTTACAGAAAAGAATCTAGTAAATGAGATCCTGATAATTCTGTATATTCTGTTAATACAACTACCACTTCTTTATTATTTTATTATTTTTAGTTTTTGTTTTCAATACATTTGGTGTGCAGTTTCCCATTCCTCCACTCCTCTTATTGTCCCCTCCATCTCATCTCTGCCCTCCTTCCCCAGATCCACTCCTGGTTTTTGCTTCTTCTGCCTCCTCTCCCCCCACCGCCCCCCCAAGACAGGGTTTCTCTGTATAGTCTTTTTGGCTGTCCAGGAATTTGCTCTGTAGATCAGGTTGATCAGACACTATTTAGAATCAAGTGTTTTTTCTTAGCATGGATAAATTGTTATATTCTCCTTGAGGCTGGAATCTTGTGTAGATGGGAGAGTAAGGGTCAAGGTCAAGCTTACTATCAGACTTAAAATTAGTTTTACTGACTCTGTTTCACATCATAAAACTTATCATGCACTAATGCTTATCATTTTGTAGGGTGGCAGTCCAGGGTCAAGGCAATGGATCCTTTTGTATTCGTGGGGATTCCTATGTTTTAAAGTACTATTTTTAAAAAAGGAAAGATGGTCAGGTTGTTAACAGATAGGTTTAGTTCTTTCATCTATTATGAGAAAGTTTACTTTTTGAAAAGCTTATAGTAAAATGTTCTCAACATTATTTTACTGTTTTTTTTAAACTGAATAAAATGCCAGTATTTTTTTTTTATGAGAACAACATTTTACATATAGTTAATTTAAGGAAGCTAACTTTATTTTTTTTCTTTGTCTTTTTAATTGGGCAAAATATCCCCCTCATTCTTTTTTTTTTTAATAATTAACATCCCTTGATACCTATGAGAAGATACTGTCTCTATGGAATTTGCAAAGAAATCTTAAGCTGAGTTCTAGCCTGTGATAAACATCAAGATCTAAAGCAACCTGAGCGGGGCTGGGGTTCATTTCATCTTACAGCTTACAGTTTATTTTTATTTATTTATTTTATATAATAAGTCCATTTAAATGAAAACAAACATTTATAGACAATATTTGGGAATTTGAGTGTTGTTCTTTCCAAACTATTTCCTGCTGGTAAGGGGCGCTGTCATGGGGGATTCTAAGAAGATGCAGAAATCATGCTGTAGTCTGTAAGGTTGCTTTGTCCAGCTGTTTTGAATGTAGGATCACCTGGTACTCTGTTTCAGGTGGTCTGGCTTGATCAAACTACATTAGTCTGGAAGGAATCCACAGCTTTTCATTTTCTGTGGAAACAAAAATAGAAATTCTTTTCCCCAGTAACTTGTCCTTGAACTTAAATTTTGGAGTCAAAGCATTTTTTAAATTTAATTTATTATTTTACATGTCAATCCCAGTTCCCTCTCTCTCCCTCCCTCCCTCCCTTCCTTCCTCCCTCCCTCCTGCCCTCTTTCCCTCCTTCCCTCCCTTTTACCCTCTCTTCCCTCTCACATGTACCCTAACCACCCTCCCCTCCCATCCCCCACCCCAATTCCATATGTAGGGGAATGCCATCCAGTTGGGGTCATGTAGATCTGACAGGTCATGTGAAGTAGGGACTAGGGCTTCTCTCCTGTCTCTAGGTTAAGGCAGTTATCCCTCCATGGGGGATGTGTTTGCAAGGTTCTTTGTGTACCAGGGATACATCCTGGCTCCACTGTCTGAAGTCCCTTAGACTGCTCAGTCCTTCTGGCTGAGACCCTGAGTCAGTCCCATGCTGGCTTCCCAGCTATCAGTCTGGTGGCCCTATCCCCTCTTTTTCTATGAAAAACCTTATCACACCCAATAAAGAATACATTTAAAATAGTCTAGTCTTCTTATGCAGCTTATGGTAGTATGATTCATTGCTGTGGTTAGGTGTTACCTTAATAGGAGATTTTAAATGTTTGCCAATGTACATACTAATGGATTTGGCTAAGTATTGATATTCTTTTGCCCCTTGTACCTAATTATCATTACCTTGTTTCTGCAGCCACAGAACCTTGGCCTGAAAATGCAACCTTATATCAGCAACTGAGAGGTAGGTTCTTATACACAATTAAAAATGGCTTTGTATTTAAAGTATGCTTATAACTAACAACAAATTCCCAAGCTAAACTGAACCAGCTGACCAACCAAATAAACAAACAAGACTCTCTGCAACCCCCAAATGTGCTAATATAATTGCCTGCAACAAGAATGTAAAACACAATGAAGGAATTCCCTTGTATAATTTGTCTGCGAGATTTTCCCTAAACTTGTATCTGCTAGGTAAACCAACTATTCATAGCCTATAAGGTCCTTAGTTTATTATTGACTCATTATGTTGGTTGCTGTAGGCAGTGTAAAATGATGTGGTTGCAGGAGCACTTGGCAGATTTACTGCACCAATAGCTGAGACAGCAGATTTTTGAAGTCCTGTGGTAAAGTGGGCTCTCAGTAAAAAGGAACTGTTAAAATGTATAGGCTAGGATGGTTCAGGCTCCCTTTAGCAGCTCTTCATATATCATCAGATCACATTATGGACCCCATTTGGGGCTCAGCAGCCTGCTACAGTTGTCAGAAGACTGCAAAGTAATGAAGACTAATAGGCAGCAGCCCCCGTCTTCTAAGCATGGAATTTTTATTGCAGCGAACTTGTCATCTTTCTTTTGTGTGACAGACCTAGACACACTGCAATATTAACTGTAAGCTGGTTTATGTGGTTGTGAATACTTTTACTTTAAACTAGAGAGATTTGAACAGATACTGTTTTATTTCATTTTAATGAAAAGAAAAAAACATTTTTTAAAAATATGAAAGTGAATGTTTTAAATAAGCAAATTTAATTGCTGATAAAATGAGATAAATGATCAAGTAATTTTAGAACAATCCTATTTTATCATTATTTACATATGATAAATTAATTGAAACTATTACATAACAATATTGATACAAAGCTTCATAATTGCTTTAGTATAGGATATCTCTTTTTAAAATAGAAATAGCTTTTAAAAATATTTTAAAATATTTTGCTTATTTAGCAGTTAAACTTTTGACTCAGACCTTTCTTTATGTTTCCACAGGGGAGCAAATTTTGCTTTCTGACAATGCAGCATCTCTTGCTGTGCAGGTAAATATGTAAATTATATATATATATATATAGTTTTTTTTTTTTTTTTGTTCTTTGTGCTTGAGGATGTATGTCATTTTGAGCTGCAGTCCACCCCCTACTGAAAATCTTATACTGTATATTTAGAGTTTTTCTGTGTGATTTAAATATTATCAGTATAGTCTTACTCTTCTGTGAAGTATAATTTTATACAGTATTTTCAATTGTCAGTATGTAAAATAAACGTCATTATCCATTATCCATTTCTTTAAAGAAAAGTATTTTTAGGTGGTAGACATATTCTGTCTTAGCAGTTGTCTTGTTTTTGGTTAGATACAGTATTTTGTTTGGGGTGATAATTTCATTACAAACTCAACTATTCCCTAACTTATTTGTAAAGAGTTGTTCACTACATATTTTTAATCATTATTCTGCTTATTATGTACATGCTAAGCTTAATTCTGTTAGTCTTGAAGTAGATAGAGTCTTACTAGCTATTTGTCATATATTTATTGATTACATGTATATTTATTACTCCCAGTCCACTTATTGAGTACAACTGCTTTTTAAATTTTATATTACAGCTGTGTAATAAAAAAAAATGATTTTTTGGCAGTATAAATTTAAAAATTGTACTATGGCGTACAGGGACAATTATTTACTTTGAAGAAAGTAAATGTTTCTGTAAGTTGTAAAATTATGTAAACATTTTACATATTTAACTGCTAAAGCACTTAGTTTAGTGGTTTCAATCACAAAGATTGACTGTGCTGCATGTAAAAGGAATCTGGAAATATGTGACATATATTGGAGGTGATACTAGAGTCCTGGAGGACAAAGAGAAAGAGGAGGAGAGAAAGTATTTATCAAGCTTTTGTTATGTTGGAGGCATATGCTAAGCATTTAATTTTAGGTCATCTCATTTATATTTTTTATTTAATTTGATAACCTCTGTGTTTAAGAGAAGTGTCTAGAACTGTCATTCACCATGGCAGAGATTGCTTGGTATTCATCTTTGTTTTAAGGCAGAGAAGGAAATAAAAGATGGGAAGAATGTGCTTGGACATTAATTTATTAGTTGATGGATGTATTTTTTTTTTTACAATTGTTTTATATCTTTTACCAAGAGTATAAACTATACTTTTTGCTTTTATTTCATCTTTAAATTCTATTTAATTAATCTTTATTTTCTTTTATCTTTTGATAAATAAATTTTCAGTTATGTGTAATAAATATAGCCTTTATACAGTTTATTAATCTCTTTAGTGGAATAAATGGAATTTAACATTGTACACACACACACACACACACACACACACACTTACTCATACAGTTGCTTGGAATAAAGAATGTACTTAGTAGGTGTATATTGTATAAATGGTTTATTAGTGTGGTGAAGCAATCTTGCCTGATAAATGACAGCACAAATAAATTATTTGCTGTGTGTAAAATAATATTTTCAATCTTTGTATCTTTGAAGAGATAGCTTCAGGGCATGGTGAATATTTTGGTTGAAGCATTGTTTCTTGACCCCTTTTAATTGCTATTTAGGGGATAGCTCTTTAAGGATTTAACAAAGCTAATTAACATTCTTTCCTAAGAAAAATCTTCTAGTGCATGTAGTAAAAGAAAAATATACCAGCTTGGTTTGTATGTGATTTCAGCAGGTTTACTTCTTACTGAAGTCATCTAAGAATCCCTTAGGAAAAAACCCTTAAAATGAAATATATTGTTGTACGGAGTGCTGCAGTAATTAATTTTGAACAAATAGGAAAGACTTTTCAGTAGGAATAAACTACTAATGATTTCAGTTAGGGAGAATTTGGCTCCCTGAAAACATGACAGGGGTTAGGAATGTGGGTTGTCAGCACTGTTGGAGGTATGCATTGGATATCCTTAGTAGACAGCAAGGGTGCTGCTCACTCACTGTTCCACAGTGTATAGGTCAGCTTTCTACAATGAACTCTTCACTTCCAAATATAAGTGGTGTCAAGTTCGAAAGACCAAAGGCTAGATGGTTCAATCAGTTTTTGTACAAAGCAAAATACGAGAATTTAAAAAAAAATTGATATTCAAGTTTTTCTTGGAAGGAAAATTAAAAAGACCCAATGTAGTACATATTGTTGTTGTTATGGCCCTATTAATTTGTTTTCTCACCATAGTTTCTGAAATCATAGTTGCAACTGAAAATAATACCAAAAACAGGCATTCTTAAAATAATAGAATTTTGCTTAACCATTTCAAGTTTTTATCCTACATATGTCACTTAGATGATAAATTAACCAGCATATATTAAAAACTCTTGGTTTTCTTCAATATTCTTTGACTTGACAGCTGATAGTAGCCATGACTATAAATGTGACTTTCTCACATATCTGATATAAACTTTATGGAATAATTTTCTTCTATATAGAGCAACAGCATCTGTTTAGAAGAACCAGCTAAATGTTTGATGTATAGAATTGATCAAAACAGCATGACAAGTATCTATAAACTGTATATTTTCTAGAAGATAACAGATAGAAAACATTGGACATTTTAATAGTCTACCAATTATACCATCAGGAAATTCAGATTTTACTTATCATACAGGCAGGTGTTTATTATATTCTGGAAGCTAAAATGCTTGGCTATTTTTAATAAAAGGCACTTTTATGACTTCAGTTTAAAAGAAAATAATTTTCTTTCTGGTGATCATTTCCCCTGTGATTTGCTTTCTTTGTATCATCTATCTGCAAGTATAGGCTTACCTGAGTGCTGCTTGGCCATAATGTGATCTTGATTGTTGGCTGTAGCGAAAGTTAGTCTGATATATTTTCATGAGCTCAGTGTTTGGCTAACATTGTATGCATACATGAATAGAGACATCGAGGGACTTAGGCTTATTCTGATTGGTCAAACAAACCTGATAATTCTGTTACTTTTGTTTTTTACACTCCAAACTTAGACCAACTACCCAGTAGATAGCTAATATGGTGGAACCACTGAGTAATTCAAAATTTCTAGTAGTCTCATTTTAAAAAATGTAGTTAATTAATTTTAGTAATGTTTTACTTAGCCCAATATATCAAAATATTATCATAATCAGTACAAAATTTATTTTAATTTTTTCAAATGAAATTTAAAGTCTGATATGCACACTTAGCATTCATCTCTTTGTGCTAGCCATATTTCATATGCTCAATAGCCATGTATAACTGTTGGTTCTTGTATTGGACATTGCCAGTTTAGAAATACAACATGAATAAATAAGTACATTTGAATTCTTAAGAATCCATTTTACAAAAAATGTTTTTAAAAGACTTAAGTTCTGAGTGTGTACTGTATTCCTTTAATCCCAGCACTCAGACAGAGTTAGGCATGTCTTGTTTGAGAACAGCCTGGTTTACATAGTGAGTTCCAAGACTGCCAGAGCTACATAGAGAGACCCAGTCTCATCAACAACAGCACCAAAGAAGTTATGTATGTACTGTTTAAGTCAGAATATTAATTATATAGCAAAGGGAAATGGGCAGTTTATCTCTGTTCCAAGGACTATCTTCAGAACTCTGTTTCAAGTTTCTTTCTCTGTAAAATAGACATAAAGTAGATACTGTTCCATTGGCTGGCTAGTGGGAATCAAATGTATTAACATATTTAAAACATTTAGAAAGATATTTGGGGTATTGTAAATATACAGTGGATGTTGATTATTTCCTTCTGTTCTGAATCTTGGCAGAAATACATTCAGTCAATTTCAACAAGGTAATTAGAAGCTTGCAGGCTTGATAATGCCTAAAGAACACTGCCAGGAATAATAATAAATAAATATATATATATATATGTATATATATATATACATATATATATATATATGGTTTTAATGGGAACATTTTTATATTCACATGAACATTAATGATTTTATAGCTACAGTTACAAGATTTTATTAATTCCTTAGGAATTTCATGTGTGAATTTTGATATTTACCCTATTACTCCTCCACCTCTTCCAGATTCACTCTCCATTTTCACCCTTTTCCCAACTTGTGCCCTTTTTCTTCTTTTTATTACCCACCAAGTTCAGTGTCTTCTGCCCATAAATATATATATATATATATATATATATATATATATATATGAATGAGGCTATCCACTAGAGCATGTATAACCATGGTTTCATGCTATGACAAAAATGATAATGTGTAAACCTAATGTTATCTAAGAATATTAAGACATTTTAAAATTTAATATTAAAAGTATTTGCTTATAACCAACTCTACTGAGAGCTTTTATATAGAGTATTATGATCAATCCTTACCACAGCCCAATGCAGGGAGCTACTATTACTCTTAATTTTTAAAATGTGGGGGCTAGAGATGTTTTAGTGGTTAAGAACACTGAATGCTCTTCCAGAGAACTCTGGTGCAGTTCCCAGCATCCACATGGCAGCTCACATGGCAGTAACTTCAGTTCTAGGCATTGCATGGTGTAAAGACATACATGCAAAACACCCACATGAAAAAAAATTTAAAAAATTAAGATCTGCCACATACATAAAATCCCAGCTTTTTGGAGACTGAGGCAGAAGGATCATAAATTCAAGTCCAGCTGTGGCTAGATGAGTTTCAGGCCAGCCTGAGCTATATAGTGAGACCCAGTCTTAAACATCCAGCAACAAAGCCAGAAAACACAAAACAAAAAGTAGAAATCCTAAAAGTCCAGAGCTAGTTTTTCTAAAGATACAGAGCCCACTAATTATGGAGGAAAACAGAAAGTGATAGTTATTGGTTGAGTTCTGTGTATGGGTACCTTATTTTTATTAGCTTAATCTTTATGAGTCTAGTGCTGTGTGAGTTACGTGTCAGAACAATAGTCTCCTATGGAAATACTGTGGAATTGGCACTGTTACAATGCCTTCTTCTACACAGAGGAAAATGGTGAGGCAGAGGGGTTCAATTGTTGGCCTAATAATACATGACTCCTCTACCCCCCAACCCACCCCTGAGATAGGGTTTCCTTGTGTAGCCCTGGCTGTGCTGGAAC